GCCGGTCGGTGCCGGGGCCGGTCCCACAGGAGCCCTCAGGGCCGGTCGGTGCCGGGGCCGGTCCCACGGCAGCCCTCAGGGCCGGTCGGTGCCGGGGCCGGGGCCGGTCCCACAGGAGCCCTCAGGGCCGGTCGGTGCCGGGGCCGGTCCCACAGGAGCCCTCAGGGCCGGTCGGTGCCGGGGTCGCTCCCGGGCCCGCTTGGACCCACCCGCGGTCAGTCCCTCACCGCCCCGCCCCTCCGCGCATGCGCCGTGCGGGGACAAGATGGCGGCGCCCGTGGACCTGGAGCTCAAGAAGGTACGAGACCCCCGCCCGTGTGGCTCTTCTCCGTGCGTGGTCCCACCTTGTGTCCTACCCKTCCACTGGGTCTCCTGCCCCCTGTGTTTGTCCCCACCTGTGTCCCCTCACACCATATTCCGGTGTCGCCGGCCGGTCCCCTGGTGCCCGCAGCCCGGGGCCGCTGGTGCCCCCGCCGTCTCTCACCGCGGTGCTGTCCCCTGGCCAGGCCTTCACGGAGCTGCAGGCCAAGGTGATGGACACGCAGCAGAAGGTGAAACTGGCCGACCTGCAGATCGAGCAGCTCACCAAGACCAAGAAGCACGCGCACCTCACCGACACGGAGGTGATGATGCTGGTGGACGAGACCCGCATGTACGAGGGCGTGGGGCGGATGTGAGTATCGGCCGGAGCGGGGGACACGCCGGCTCTGTGCGCCGGGAGAGGGGCTCCTCAATTCAGGAGGGACAGTGAGGGGCTGGAGTGTGTCSRGAGAAGGGYAATGGGRCTGGGAAAGGGTCTGGAGCACAAGGAGTGACTGAAGGAGCTCTGAGGGGTCAGCCTGGAGAAAAGGAGGCTCTGGGGGACCTTCTTGTTTTCTACAACTCCCTGATAGAAGAGTGGAGACAAGTGATTGTCAGGCTCGTCCAGGTAACAAGTGATGAGAGAACATAGTCTTAAACTGCTCTAGGGCAAGTTTAGATTGCACATCAGGATGAATTTCATCTCAGAAAGGATGATTAAGCATTGGAAGGGGCTGGCCAGGGARTTGGTRGAGTCACTGTCCCTGGAGGTGTTTAAGGAAAGACTGGATGTGGCACTTAATGCCATGGTCTAGTTGACAAGSTGGTGTYRGGTCATAGGTTGCACTCAGTGACCTCAGAGCTGTTTTCCAGCTTGACTGATTCTGTGACCCCCAGCCTGAGTCTCTACGAAGCCTCCTGGCCACTGCCCTGGGCAGGAGGCTCTCCACTTCACAAGGGCACACCAACTTTCAGCACATAATTGTTTCCTTTTTCATATTGTATTTAATTTTTAATTGCAGCAATCTAGCTGGGAATGCAGTAAGTTTTACTGGGTTTTACCTCTTGGGGTTGGGGACTTGCTGCCTCGAAGAAGGGCTGTTATAAATGATAATGGCTTTGTGTGGTTTTGCTTGMTGGCTCAGCTCCTGGCCCCAGTGCTTTCTTCTGGCACCTCTGGGCAGTKTGTAATTTCAACTAGCAGGGCAGCACTCTAATGCCAAATGGCATTTGTGAGAAGGCCCTCTCAGATCTGCCCAGCTTCAGTCATTTCCCATGTAGTTTGTGTCAAACTCCTTCAAACCCCGCTGTGCATAGTTCATGTGCTCAGGGCTTTGCCTCAGCAATGCCCTTTGCACTGTGGTACCAGGGAATGGATCTAAGGACATTGCTTGGATTTATTTCAAATGCCTGGGAGTGAACATAAAGCTTGTATGGGTAGTGCAGTCCTAAAGATGTGCTTCTGTATGCTGGATGGCTGTCAAAAGAAACACCTTAAAAAGACCTGAGATGTTCTGATTAATTTCCTCAGTGCACTTTGGTGGGACTTCAGCAACCTCTGATAAAAGACCATATGAAATGGTCTTTGTGTAGATTGGTTTCACCATATAAAGTGGTCTCAAATCTGAAACATGTACTTGCTTGACAAATAGCGTGTTAGATTTCTGTGTTTCTGATTTGAGAAATAGGATTTTGTCTCATGTGAGTTGGGTAACAGTGATGACTGCTCGACTCGGGATGTGGTTTGTGAAATCCTGGATCTGCTCTGACTGCTGCCAAAAGGGGTGATTGTATCGACCTCTTCCCCATCCTGTTTACCCCACCTTCTTTGTGCCATAGTGGGCGATCACAGGACTGAGCAGGGAGCCAGGTCAGACTGCAAGTGCCCTGATCCATCAGCCCACACAATCTCCAGACAGAGTTGTAGGGAGATGGCAAGACTGGGGGTCAGGAATGGTGTGTACTTTGCCTTTTGCTGAGAGTTTTCAGGGGATTTGTACCAGCCTAATGGGGCTGTTCAGAGTGGCAGCGTTCCCTTCTTGGCTCCCACTAAATAAACTTTTCCAAGTAGGTCCATTAAGTGTTGGGTTTGGTGGGAATGCTGGTGACTGGTACCTCAGAAGGAGACAGATTCTGGTCTCTTGCAAGAGGCAACTGATTGACCTGGGCAGGCTGTAGATGAAGCAAACACTCGTGTTTGGAGTAGTCATGAGATGTCTCAAAAGGCTTTTTTTTCTGATTGGGTTTGTCACAGAGCAGACAGATGAAGAGCAAAAGGTAATTCTGAAGTCAACATGTTTTTGTAAACCTTTTCAAAATCCAGAAGTACAGAGTGCCTTTGGAYTGGAAAAGTCTCTCAAGATACTTTAGAAATGTGAGTGTGTTGGTCTTTAATAAATAATCCCACCTGTGAATCAGATGTGGGGAGCAGATATTATTTCATTATGGTCTGAAGTGCACTGTCCTGCTTTCTGCTTCTGCCTGCTCCTTAGGAGTAAGATACACGCCTTCTTTGTGTCCTAATCCATTTACCCTTTCTGTGTGCAGGAGCTGCAGGARCTCCAGTCTTCTGAAGTGTCCTTTTTTTCTTACCTTTCCATAACCAGACAGGTGTGAAGCATGGCTGGCAGCTCTGGCTCCTCAGGGATGGCAGAGGCGCCAGCAGGAAAATATTTGCATTATGATATTGTTTAAAAACTGAGCTCTTCATGGGCTTTGTTGTATTATTCGCTATACAAATACAGATTAA